GTGTGTGTGTGTGTGTGTGTGTGTGTGTGTGTGTGTGTGTGTGTGCGTGTGCGTGCGTGCGTGTGCGTGTGCGTGTGCTTGTGTGTTTTAGATTTTCCCCACAACAGCCCCAATTGCACCCAGGTGAATAGATTCAGAATCAAAGCAGTCTTTGTCCTATTGCAGACAACGAGAGCATTGGAGATGTCCAACATATTAAAGCAATTTTGTAATTAGACAGTTTTTTGGTTGTCCTTGGGTACCCCTTTCATTGTTCTTGCAGCTCCCCTTTTACTGTGCCTCTTACGCTCAAGGCTGCCCACGTTGGTTGTGATTGAGCGGCAGCTGCCCACATCCCCATCTGCCTTCACGGCCCACTTGCACGTGATTTCAGGAGGCAGAGTAAAAGGGAAGGTATGCTCCTGTGCATCTCCTAAGAGCTTCATACTCCTGTTCATTTCACTTCAGATCTTCAGCTTATACAGTCTTTGTGTCCGTCCTTCATGTTCATACTTCCATTCATTTCATTTCTGATCTTCATATCCTCTGTTCTCTTAATGATGCTCATTCGTATGTATTTGTTAGTAGTACAAGGGAAGTGGAGGGGAGGGTGAAGGGTAAGGGGTAGAAGGCGGAGTTCTCTAGGAGTATGCGTGTGTGTGTGTGTGTGTGTGTGTGTGTGTGTGTGTGTGTTCGTCTGTGTGTTTATGTGTGTGCGTGTCATGTACCATACACACAAGCATGACTGTGCCAGACTGTTTCGTCCGACTTTCACCGGCTCATCAGGAGGTTTTTCCCCAACAGTCTGCCCAGGATGCATTTGACTGATGGATAAGGACACGTCACCCAGAGTAGGCGATGCCCCTGCTAAAAGCGGTCGACTTTACTCAGACAAACCCCGCGATGCATTTGTCCAATGGATAAGCACTCGCACCATCACCCAGAGCTCACGATTCCCCTGAGAAAAGTGGTTGACTGACACCAACCCTCTTTGTTTGTGTAAGTCTTGGTTTCGTGGGCCAAGAGTGATTGATTGCCGTTAACTTGATTGATTGCCGTTAACTTAAAAGAGTGCCATTGTTGTTAAGCAGGTCCTGTAGTGTAAGAATGGAGTACTCGACATCCAATCTGTTTTGCATTTTCTGTCTGCTGCAAAACATGCGAGCAGCTGTAACGCTGGGCACGCATCTTGGAGCATTTTGTATGAGAAATTAGGCAAAGAAGAAATGATTGGGAAGTGTCAGAAACTCCTTCCTGACTGCACCGACCCTACTCCCCACGCTGCCCTGAATTTGCTTTACCTCAGGCGTTGTGGATTCTGGTCGTCGATTCAAGTGAGCTGTCACTTCGTGGGCTCGCATTTGGGTTATTCTACAACCACAATATGATGGAGGTTTTCTTCAGAAAAAAAGGTACGAGACAGAGAGCTCTTAGCAGCTGATCAGGTGGATTGCTCTCTCCTCTCTCTCTCTCTCTCCATCTATCCATCTCTCTGTGTCTCCGTCTCTCTCATTATCGCGCGTGCGTGTGCAAGGCGGCTGAAACCTTTAATGGCAGGGGGTCGTGCAGACTCCCCCCCCCCTCTCTCTCTCTCTCACGCCCCGATCGATCAATCAATCCTGGTAGTTCATGCTGCAAGACATACCACCTCGATCGAATTGAGAGAGAGAGAGAGAGTAGACCTGCTTTTTCTCCCCAATGCCACAACGACCGATCGAGCGGTTGCCATGTCTGAGCCAAGTAGCTCAGCGTAGAGGAGCATAGATTACCGACTCTCTCTCTCTCTCTCTCTCTCTCTCTCTCTCTCTCTCTCTCACGCCCGGGCAGTAGACGTCGTTGTCAGACTCGATTCCCTCCTTGGGACCAGTTAGTCTGATTGGAGGGGGCGGGTCGTCATAGCAGGGGAGCATCATACACGCAGGTTGTCATAACATCGTACAAAAGTCGCATGCGGCAAATTAGCAAAGTTGAGCATCGTAGAGCTCTCTCTCTCTCTCTCTCTCTCTCTCTCTCTCTCTCTCTCTCTCTCTCTCTCTCTCTCTCTCTCTCTCTCTCACGCACAGTAGACATCGTTGTTAGACATGATTCTCTAATTGGGGGCAGTTAGTCTGATTGGAGGGGGCGGGTCGTCATAACAGGTGAGCATCATACAAAAGTCGCGGGTCGTCATAACATCGTACGAAAGTCACAAGCGGAAGCTTAGCAAAGTTGAGCGATGTAGAGGTCTCTCTCTCTCTCTCTCTCTCTCTCTCTCTCTCTCTCTCTCTCTCTCTCTCTGTGGCGCACGTGCGCACGGGGCATGTGCAAGGCGGCGGAAACCTTTAGGGGCAGGGTGTGGTGGAGAGGGGCAGCCGCACAAACTCTCTCTCTCTCCCTCTCAGTAGACGTCGTCGTTAAAATATTTCATTTTAGGTGCCCTTTCCTCTGGGATTTTCTTATTCGGTTGTTCTATGATTTATGGATTTACAGGAGTGACCAATTTTGAAGAATTAGCCAAAATTTTGACTGGTTATGAAATGACTTTTTTTGGGACTCAGTCGAGTGGTATTTTCATGATTCTCTCCTTGGGGGTGGTTAGTCTGATTGGAGGGGGCGGGTCGTCATAGCAGGGGAGCATCATACAAAAGTCGTGGGTCGTCATAACATCGTACAAAAGTCGCGCATCGTTATAAAATCGTACAGAAGTCACACGCCGAAGATTAGCATAGTTGAGCACCATAGAGCTCTCTCTCTCTCTCTCTCTGTGGCGAGCATGCTCATGGGGCATGTGCAAGGCAGCTGAAACCTTTAGGGGCAGGGGGTGATGGCGAGGGGCAGCTGCACAAAACTCTCTCTCTCTCTCTCTCTCTCTCTCTCTCTCTCTCTCTCTCTCTCTCTCTCTCTCTCTCTCTTGTGCGCGCGCGCACAAGTAGTACTGGATGTAGAAGCCTTGTCAAACTTCATTCTCTCCTTGGGGGCAGTTTGTCTGATTGGAGGGGGCAGGTCATCACAGCAGGGGAGCATCATACAAAAGTTGTGGGTCTTCATAACATCGTACAAAAATCACGCGTAGAACAGTCAAGCATTGTAGAGCTCTCTCTCTCTCTCTCTCTCTCTCTCTCTCTCTCTCTCTCTCTCTCTCTCTCTCTCTCTCTCTCTCTCTCTCTCTCTCTCTCTCTCNTCTCTCTCTCTCTCTCTCTCTCTCTCTCACACACACACACACACACACACACACACACACACACACACACACACACACATCCTCGTAGTTCGAAGTGAACAAAGAAAAGAAAGGAACAGACATCAATAAAAAAGTAGAGTTAACTCACCGTCACTCGTCATAGCATGGTCGTCTGAAAGTCTCGACGCAATGCACTGCTCAGCGTCCAACCTTCAGGATGCGGAGTCCAACCTCCAGAAGTAAAAAAGCTTAGTGTGTAAGACTAAGCCAGACTGTTTCGTCAGACTTCCACCGACCCATCCGGAGGTTAGACAAGTCCATAAGAAATAGCATCACTAAGCCAGACTGTTTCGTCAGACTTCCACCGACTCATCAGGAGGTTGAACCCCGACAGTCCGCCCAGGATGCTTTTGGCTGCTGGATAAGGACTCACCGTGTCGTGTGTGTTTGTCGGGTCTCGTGTGTGTGTATCCACTTGCGAAGTCGAAGTCAAACATGGTAACCTAGAGTAGAGTAGTACAGTCCAAGTCGAGCGTAGTAACATACAATAGGAAGTGGAAGTCTATAGTGCCAAGTAGAGTAGCGTAGGGGTCGGTCTTTATCACGCCGTAGGTTTCGCTCGCGTTGGTTACATAACCCCACCCACGTGTACCGTTCAGATATGGCCTGGCCTGGGGAGTACCACCTGCGGCAGTACTACCGTGTCGGCCAAAAATTGGCCTGGGGAATGCTGCGCACGGCACTACCGGGCCAGGGCCTGCCAGCCCAGCGATCGTCTTCGATACTCATGCAATCTGGACCATGCGGTACAACGCCAACGATGGACCAGATTGCGAGTTGATGACATCGAAAACGATCACCAGCCCATCTGGACCGTCGTGCACCAAGGAATCTGAGGGCCCAGATCGGCTGCTGGTCACAGGCCCCCAAATAGCGATTGTTATATATGTAGTGATTGCAGCAAACACATACGTTGCATCCAGGCGAGTGTCATCAAGCTGTACTCATCGTGACAGCAATATTGATGCACCAACAAAGTCGCGGCAAAAAAACGAGCTGGAGAGAGTTTGTCCTCCGACAAAAATACCTATTAATGCACTGCGTAAACTAGTCCACCTTCCCTCTCAGGATAAACAAAGCAACTCAGCCATTCATTTCTTCTGTGAGAAGGACTCCCAAAAGGACATGCAGAAGGGGCCAGCAACAAGCTGTGAATCACACAGCCCTGTCACAGACATGTTCTCAAAAGAAGGACATGGCATTATGAACTTCGCATACAAACATTGGCTGAAGGTGCGAAAACGAGAAAAGAAAAAGAAGACGTAAAGAAAAGAAGAGGTAAATCTTTGGCCGCCAACTTACATTCTTTGGCATCCAAATCATTGGCTTGTCCATGTGTACTCTCTTTGCACTGCTTCCTGCTCCTCATACTTGGGTTCTCGCGAGCTCACATTTCATCGCTTTCCGGAGGAGGAGGAGGTTATGACAGCGAGATGACACCGAAACATGTCGGCCTTCCTTGTGAAGCCCTCATTCTCCAGTTACTGGTGCCGCATGCAGATCATGATGTTTTGTCAGTTCCCGTTTCGCAGGCACACCCATTGCTCATCACTCCCATGCAATTATAATCATGACGCCATCGAGGACAGACTCTTTTGGCAAAGAGCCCCTAATTGAAACTTATTTATAGAACAAATGGGCTCCGCAGCAACAGCGACTGAAGCAGCCAACAAGAGAGCCGTGGACACTGACAACTAAAGCATGCAGTCAAAAACCTCCACCAAGCAACCATAATCTTCATAAAAAACAGAGACGGTACGCACCCGATCCACTACGAACCTGAGCCAGAGAAGAGCAACTTCAAGACAACGACATCCAGTAGAAAGCTGAGACAGAGCAGGGCACTTCAAAAAGAGTTTCAAGACAACATCTAAAGGCCAGAAAACGATCCTACCCCCGATCTACGAATCACTAACACCATCCCTCCGATCATCATTTTCCATAAAGCCTCAGCGGCATTTTATGCAAACACCCCTGCGGGGCCCTTGAACACATACACCAATGTGATCCCTTCCCCAGAACTAACCCATGCAGAGTCCCCTTAGTCACTTCACCCACAACCCCACCCCACCCCCCCACCCCCCCTCCCTCTCCCTGGTGCAACACAAAGACAGGCAGACAACACCCTATCCCCAGCCACAGGCAAATTACTCTGCAGGTAGAGGACAGTCAGCACTATGGAGAACTAGGGAGAACTAGGGAGAACTAGAGAGAACTAGGGAGACAGCAGCCACATGCAAATCACGCTGCCTGTAGCGGACAGTCAGCTCAGGTCACTGACCGAAGAGCTTTCTTGGTTCCAAGGCTCCCGACCTGTCCCCTCTTGTTCAAGACGAGGGAGAATAGTAATCACTTCAAGTTCAGGACGAGGGAGAATAGTAATCACTTCAAGATAGAATTTTCTCCCTTTGACCCCTCCCTGCCACATGTGGTCGGTCCAGTTCTGCTGTGTATAACTTCATTCAGGGATAATGATATACAGAAGATCAGGTTTTCATGTAGCACGAAGAGACAGACAACTTCAAGCGGCATCCCACCACTATTAATTACTCACCAGTGCGAGTCAAGATGCTGCTGGACAGAGCATGCGAGATTCCAGAAGGCACAGATATCTCCCTTCGCACAGCTCAGCAAGCCCACTCATAGACATTCCGGAATTACTACTACAACGACACTTGTCTCATGGCGAACATCTTCAGGAATAACAGAGCTATGTGAGAAGATATTTTCTGCTCCTTGCCCTCTCCCCCATTTTCTCCCTTTTATCCCACCGTACTAGAGCCACCTCCATCTCCGTGTTCGCCGCCTTTCAGCAGTAAATGCAGCCCCACAAGCAGCAGGTTGGACTTGTGTCGGTCGCACCGGCCCTCGAGAGACCCAAGACGTAACCCTGAAGAAGTCATCAGAATTTATCTCGGTTGTGCCAGAATCAGTCCTCTGGAAGATTTGCAGCAAGGTCAAAATAGTGTGCCACACCAGCATCAGCAAGGAACTTCCGCGCTGCAGCTTCGGAGTGGCTTTGCTGCATCACGAACTTCTCAAAACTTGCCCTTGCAACACTACCCTGAGAACAGTACGCAGCACTCACAGGCATAGACAGTCATTGGCAAGCATCCGCACATCCAGAAGAATATTGACACACACACAAGAATATTGACACTCACACACACACACACACACACACACACACACACACACACACACACACATGCACACAACACACACGCACGCACGTATGTTTACATACATGGATGCACCCATGCACCCACCCACCCACACATAACCACACCCATACACCCCCACACTGACACCCATACACCCCCACACTGACACCCATACACCCCCACACTGACACCCACACACAGACACACAGATGTGCACACCCATGTCCAGAGTAACATGCGGCCCGACAACACCATACCCCAGGCAGCCCCAGACAAACAAAACACAACCAAGCCATCATGTGAGGCCATCAGCGCAAATGCTTTCAATTAAGATCCAAATTGTGTTTAATAAACTTTAATGTTGTTTCAGGAGTAGGAGCATGGTGCGGTGGAATACACGAAATGGTAAGGCAGGACTGAAGGGGAATGCTTTCGCAGTTGCTTCAGCTGATGGCCTTGTTACACCGCCACTACACGGCCCCAGCCTTGTGGAGATTTTATCGCCATCTACTCCGAGAATCTCAACGCCTCAGGCCTACCAGACCACAATGGCTGGAAGAGCCAGCCAAAAAAGGAAAAAAGTGCACTGCTTGCAGTTTGGAAAAGCTTGGGGCGCAGCGCAGCACCTCCAGCCCCGGGTGTGCCAATGGTTTCAGCAGTGAAGTCACAGGTAGTAGAAAGGGGACTGGGAAAACATGCTCGTGGAGAGTGTATGCAACAAGTCTGACGCTATGTCAGATCATTTGACCTATATTTCTCAGCTTCGAACAGAAAAGCAGCCATGCGCATTGAGCACACACACGACAACTCAGATTGGGCTATCAGGAGCTTAAAGAAAAGAGATTGAATGTGGACCCCATAACGACAAGACACCAAAGCATACCTGCCAGGCCAAAACACACTTGTTTTCTTTCCTCAGTTCACCGCCCTCATCATCCTTCTCATCGGAGGCAGCATTCCAATTGATACGCCTGAGCATGAGCTTCCCATATCGTTTTATGGACTTCGCACCTGCAAACGAAAAGGCAAGCAGCAGCTATCTTCAGTCCAACAGGATACGACAGACCTTCACAACCCATCTTGACCAAACCAAAAGTAAGAACAGCAGTGAAGCCGTTGCATTTCTCACCATGCCACTTATATATCACTCGAGGCATATAAACCTGTTGAGCGCCAAGACCTGCGAGATCACCGATCGACTTGTTGCATTTCACTGTGCCAACATGTATGTCACCTGAGGCACATAAATCCATCAAGCACCAAGACTTGCAATGCAACAAGCGGCTATTTCTTACCAGCTCGGCCTACTTTTCATCACCATGAACCTGAAGCCAGGACTATCTCATATACGGAAAACATAATCTGAAATCATGTAGTATCATTACTATCGTCCCCCGCACCATACAAAGAGTTGAAATTTACGAATCACACCCAAAGCCACCCATATCCGATCTTCACCCAAGATACAGACAAAGCTCGTCGATGGACTGACCGAGTCCTAGTAGTATCATTACCAGTCATCCTCCACACCGTAAAGAGCTGAAACTTACGGAGTCGCATCCTCCCAAGTGGCCCATGTCCTATCTTCGACCAAGATGTGGAGAAAGGGCATAGATTGATCTCTTCGGCTGGGTGACGCATTTCTACCACCACTAGGAAAAGAAAGGCAGAAGGTGTCACAATTCACCTTACTATCAAATTATTATTATAGCAAGTATTCCTGGATTGCCGCTCCGCTATCCCTAAACCCTGGACCTGACGAGACCCTATCTAGTTTGCATATAGTCAAACAAATCATCCTGTCAAAGCGACCTAATAGCACAAGAAATAGCGCAAGAACACAAATGAAGGTTCCCGCACATTGTAGCACGTGCATATGCCAAATTCCACCAGGCAAAAGCCACACGCGATTTAAAAATCAAACACCCAAAGAAACGCTGAAGTGCAAAAAGAACTGGAATCAGGGTTGCACCCCCCGACGGTCAGCGGCCCGTCAAGGGAGGGGAGCAATTTACGTGATAAGCTGTTAAGAACTCTCTGTCTCGTACCATTTTTTTCTGAAGAAAACCTCCATCATATTGTTTGGATCGGTAAAGGAAACATGGTTGTAGAATAGCGCAAATGCGAGCCCGCGAAGTGGCAGCTCACTCGAATCAACGACCATAATCCACAACGCCTGAGGTAAAGCAAATTCAGGGCAGCGTGGGGAGTAAGGTCCGTGCAGTCAGGAGGGAGTTTCTGACACTTCCCAATCATTTCTTCTTTGCCTAATTTCTCATACGAAATTCTCCAAGATGCATGCCCAGCATTACAGTGGATGGTTGATTTTTTTTTGTTTTGTTTTTTTTTTCCCGGACTGGTCGGCAGACCGCCGACCGGTCGGCCCTACTGGTCGGCTGCAATACGGTCGCCGGTCAGGGTCGGCGGTCGGCAGAGATGCAACCCTGACTGGAATCATAAAGACATGCAGACAACACCACCCAGTCCCCATGCTTCAAGGATGGCTGGTAATAGAGGTGATTGCCTTGTTCCCTGCCACATCTCTGTAACAAGGTTTCATGACCAATCCATCAACCCTTGGCGCTCACTCCACTACTCTCAGAATGAGCAAAACGAGAGTGAATCTTCCGCTAGAACATGGAAAGATGCACCGCCATGATTATTGTCTTTTGTGCATGTCGAGAGTAGTGGAGTGAGTCTCATCATCAGCACACCTTCAGTCACACACATATCACGACAGGAGTTGTGGTAATTGAATAACAAGTTCGACAAACAGGAAGTCAGTCTGCAAATTGAAAATGAGACCCCAGTCACAGGCACAAGCACGATCATCGCATGAATCGAGGTAGCTGATGAAAAAAACAACTACCAGTTCCATACAGCTCAGACCACCCAGAGAAACACGAATAGAAATCATACGGAAGGTGTGAATCACTATGCTCGCCTTCCGCCTATGAGTCCGGCATCATGACAAAACAAAGAGAAGAGAGAAAAGTGATCTCACCTCCCTCCACAACAACAATTGAGAAGCTCGATGTCATGACCGCACAGCCCGTCAAACGATTTTCCTGTGCGTTGATGTCAACCTTGAACCGTGCTTGTGGATTCGACATGTCATTCACTCTGCACATCACGCCAGACGATCAAAAGAGAATGATGTGCAAATAATGTCAATCCAAGTTCAGACATAATAAGGCGCTAGCACAACCTGAAACAAAAACTGAAGCAAGGAGAAACCACAGGCCTTGTTTAACAGACAAGAAAGACGAAGAATTGGAAACAACCATTGAATACTTCCCCTGAGAACACTGATGCCATCCAGTACACAAGTCCTTTCCATCCTTTCTCGCCATCCAGTACACGAGTCCTTTCCATCCTTTCTCTCCACTGGACGCGCAAGGATTCAGTACAGAACCAACAACTTCACAAATTAACAAAAGCCAAAAGAAGGCCTAGCTCAGTTGGGACACCCCTAACCCGTTGAAATACGGACCCAAGTTCAAATCCAGAATCAGATTCTAGATTACCTTGGGCCGGTCAGCTCTATCTCAAGGCATTTGCCCTTTCAAAAAAACAGAAGGCGACCTTCACAAAAACAAGAACGCATGGACAAATGTCATACGGTTGAGGCCACAGCATCAGGCCGGGTGATCAAAGTAGAGTGGAGTGCAAATAATGGCGGAGTCGCCTGGTTTATGGCGCCGCAGCGACTCGTCACTAAACTCACCTGACTCCCGTTTGTAACTCACAAACACTTGTCGTATTGTCAGGTCCGCCTGGCTGGTTTACCCTATATAGCATATAGCTACAATATTAGAAGATTGTGGTATGTAAAACCATGATTTCGAAAATTTGAAGTCCAAACATCCAATATTGCATTCTCTCTCTGTGTGTGTGTGTGTGTGTGTGTGTGTGTGTGTCTCTCTCTCTGTGGCGCGCGCGCGCATACACACACACAAGGAGCAGCGCATAATGCGGCAAAAACAGAGCAATCGCAGAGATGAAAATACACACCTGTAAACGGAAACAATTGTCTCGAGTGTGTTGTCATCAAACAGTTTCCGTTCTTTTTTCTCCCTTCTCTCTGCCGGTGTGAGCTTACGAGCAAGATTACGATCATCATGTGCCTGTTGACGCTCGAGCATTTGACTTCGGACCTCCTGCTCAAGTCGTGTAGGATCTTGTGTTGCTTCTGCACCTAGCACCTTCATGAGGTTGCTCATCTTCACCTTTGGTTTTGGTGGCTCCAGCAGACCTTGCCTCACCATCTCCTGCCTCTCCTTCTCCTTCGCAAGCCTCCGTTGTGTTCGGAGCTTCTTCTGCTCCCGTTTTGTCAGCTTCAGAGGCTGAGGGGGGGGAGGTGGCGCCACCGCTGGAGGTTCAATGGGAACAGGATGCTCAACGAAGTGTGTGATTTTCTCCGCTTTGACATTAAACTCCTCCCCCGTGATGTCATCATAACTCCCGTTGGGTAGCAGTGGAGCGTCCCTGCACACCACACAGATGTTGCAACGAAATGAGGTACCTTTGTAACAGAACTTGACCGCAAGGCAATCAACGAACTGCAGCACACAGCACACATAGTCTCACGACATTTCTCACTCAGAACGAAACGAACACGAGCTGAAGAAGAAAGCCACGCCCCTCACCACACAGGTTGTTAACCTTGTGACGACATTGTGCATCGAACTATACGAAGAGCAGACCACACAAGAACACAAAAGATACCCGAAAAAAAAGTATAGCGAAGGTTTGTGGACTATAGACTCCACATGCCTGTGCAGTGCCGGCCGAGAGGCCTCAGTTGGGTACCTAGCAATAGCACATTGGGTACCTAGCAATATTACATTGGATCTCCATTCGATCATCTTTGAAAAGCAGCGACGTTGGATACTAAGCATTGGGCTGAAGAGCCATCAGACCGCATTTCACACATGCTTATACTAGGACGGACCTATTTACTCCTTACATCCTCTCTCTCTCTCTCTCTCTCTCTCTCTCTCTCTCTCTCTCTCTCTTCCACCTCCATGCCTGCTTAAATGTAAATAACATGTCTGATCCGTCTATCCAACAGAGAGATTGCAGGGAACCTAGAATGGAGCTCACAAAAAAACTCCTAGAATGGAGCTCACAAAAATACTAAGCAAGCAGAGACCAGGTGTGGATCGGGCATCTTGAGCATTGTTGAGAGAGACAGAGAACATACCACCATTCAACATCTGGAACAGGATCCTTAGCTTTTTCTTGCTTGACTGTAACCTTTTCACCAATTGCAATTAGATTGGGGTTAATGCCTTTCCCCGCCTTCTCATTTGCCAAGGCTTGTTGTTTCATTCTCATCTCTCGCGCCCTTGCTTCACCAAATTGAGCCTGAATCATGAAGCAATACATAACCACGAGTTTGCTGAGTCATCGCTCCAAATCAGCCTAATCACCAACATTCAATATGGGTGTTGAGGGGGCATTGAAAGCATCATACAAGACAAAACACAAGTCACAAGAATTCAAAAACAGAAAGTGAAACGGAACAAAACATAGTAAAATATGCAGAGGACATCCTTTATAACGGGAACGATATGCGCAAAAAAAAAATAATAATAATAAACCAGAATCACCAGATAGACTTCCTGGGTTTCCTGTTTGTCTTCTTTCCTGACATGTTTAGGCAAAGCTTTAGGTCTTCTTTTTCTGTTATGTTGTTCTGAATCTTTTCCGCCACAGCCCGAAGAGCATCAGCAGCAAGAGGTTTTTTCTCCCACTTTCCTTCCTCCACAAGACGGGGGAAACTCAGAGCCTATTTTGGAGGGAGGATTAGTGCGTAATATATCCTTTGCCCCCAATGTTTTTCTGTTGGAATGTCACCAACCAGCAGACACTCGTGTGGACACGGTCTACCCCAAGGCAAAAGAGCATGGCATTTTCCTTATACAGGAACAGTTGTACTTCTTTGTTCTTTTCTTTAGGCAACGTGGTATCGGTTTTACAGGAAAGATGGGCAGGACATCTTAATATAGACATGGACAAACTTCATCCGATAAAAAAAAAAGGTTTAGGGGGCTCAAGGAACGGCCAGCCCAGTTTGCCTCATTGCAATGGCAGATAATGCATCGTTGTTTACAAACTAATGATTGGCTGATTGATCACACAACGCTAGAACAAAGGGGGATTGCCTTACCATGGTGTATATCTTGTGAGTGAGCATTTCCATCTAGGAAGTATGGAGAGAGAATCAAACGTGTGTTTACCCAGTGTCCAGGATCAGTCCTCTTGTGGCGCCGCTGGGAAAGCATCTGGAGACGCCTAACAAAGACAGACTGGCCGTGGAAACGGAGAGCAATCTTGTTGGGTTGATCACTCGAATCTTCTTGATAGCATGACGGAGTTTCAGCAAAACAAGTTCTCACCAGGGAGAAAAGCAGTCTTGTGGACAATATGGTACAAGAGATGTACTTTCTCAATACAGGACGCACGTTTGGAAGGAACAGAGGTCGAGGAAATAATCAAACAATTTGTGGAAGCAGAGATTAGATCTCAATGGCCCAAAGTTAGGTCCAACATGGACATTTACCAACAAAAAAACTTTTAAAAAGTTGATATAATAATAATTTGATTATAATTATTAATAAATTTGAGATGGATTGGCTGCGAGACTTGAATGAAGGAAAAGTTGGGAGGGTGACATGGCCTGGGAGAGACAGGGTTGAATTGCCAGTCAAAAGAGATTACTTTCTGGTCTTCAATGATTGGTTTGATTTACAATCAGGAGATATCTTAAAGTCTGCTGCTCACTTTCCTGAATTGTTTTCCCACCCCCTGGATCGGCTTTGATGGTTTAAGCCGACCCAGGGGGTCGAAACAGGTTCTCCACTTGCCTCGGGCCGTGTACTGGTGGTTTAAGCCGGCACACCTTTCACAGTGTTGGGAAAAGTGGGAATATATCGCATTCTTCGCCGACCGGGCCTGACGGCAGCCGTTGTTGATAAATGTCATCGGCAGCCGCCGTTTCGTTTCCACCGCCGAAATGGGCGAGGACCCTCCCGGCGGCCAACGTACGTGAAAGGTAGTGGTCCATTAAGGGAATCTTTTGCCACTCAGCAGGAGTCCACAATTAAAGTAATATACCACCCATCTTCGATAAATGATGGGTAGCTCTTAATCTTCCGACCTTTAGCCATTTTGCCACAGAATCAGTCACACCGGCAACCCCCAACAATCCCTCTCTGCAGCACCCGAGCAAAGCTTCACTGAAGTCTTCTTTTTTTAAGCACCAGTACATGGCCCCAGCCAAGTTGAGAATCGAATGGAGCCTCTCCTAAAATTTTGGAGGCTGGCACGCCGTTAATAAAATATATTGGCGGGCGGGAGGCGTCCTCCGAAAGGGCCCTGCGGCCGATGGCTGGTATGTACTGGTCCTTTCATTCGTCTCGTCAGCCTAGCAACCACATGCGAAAACCGGGCATCTTCGAATCCTCCTGCACACTTATTTTCTCTGATACCCCAAAACCCACTTTCCTTCCGCACTATTCAAGAGAAGAACATGTGCTGGCACTGATGGTGAGCGGTCACGGATAGGGCTCCAGGTGACAACACCTCGTTCATTCAAATTACACAAAATGTGCTCCATGTCCTCAAAGAAGGCAAGATGATAATCCAGTCAGATGCAGCATATGCAGCATACCCTGAGACGTTGTAGTTCTGCCTGCTTGGTCCACTTCCCTTCTTCGATAAACTGAAAAGTAGACCTCTTTGCCCGAACCAACTTCTTCTTGTTCGATCCCATTCGCGCATCAAAAAATGGGTTGTCTAAAGGATCTTCTTCCAGTTCTGGATGCAGAATTTTGAATGCCTCCTTCTTCTGTTTGTTTATGTTAACCTGCAACAAGAATGCACAAATCACCAAAAAGACAACACATCAGCCAGCAATGGGCAAACTCCCACCCCTGATCACCATTCGAGCAAGCCACGCTCTACACATACACCTCACTTCACAGATCTTCACAAAGCCATGCGTGTTCTTTCTCTTCAACGAGACACGTCAACAAAAGGATGTCGAAGGGACATTCGCTTCCTCCTTCAACCCCTTACCGCGTGTCAAACTTCAGCCAGACGATTCGTATAGTCACCTTGATAAGGCCACTCTTCTCCTTGCAGGCTCTATTATTATGAATTATTGCCATTATTATTACGTAAACGACCAACTTCTTTATTGCCGCCATCACAGAGTCATTGTTCTAACAGAGCACGTCGACATCAAAAGGCCAGCATCAGCACACAGACCAGTCACTATCAGCACACACAATCTATCTGTGTGACGATAGCAGAGAAAGTCCATGTACACCATAACCCATAACCAATTCAGAGGAGTCACGCGCATGTACATCCACAAAAGTACACAATCCATCAAGCACATGGAAGACCGTTGACAGGTCCTCGTACTGAAAGGTCCGCTCTATTCGAGAAAGGCGTATATCCCAGCACCAAGAAGGGTGGATCCAGATTCCAGAGTGCAAGGACTGATCAGAAAACACATACTAGAGTATCGCTGACCTCTGTACAATTTCCAAAACAATGATGTGAAGATATGGAGTATAGCAAAGACAACCTCCGTGGTTGTGACAATACAGAAAAGATCAGCATAAACTCACCCCACCGTTTATAAAATGTAAATAACAGAAAGGAGATGGTGAGGTCCATTCACTGACTTCAGTGGTCACAGCCACTACGAGCCGCGCAGCCCAGCCCCTTCCCCGCCCCACTCCGACCCACCTCCAGGAGAACCCGGCCCAGCTGGATCTGGTTCAGGGCCCAGGCCATCCCGGAGTAAATATCAAAAAAACAAATTGAGCAGCCAGGCAGGCCTCCACAGCACTTACCAGTGTCACGGAGGCCTGCCTGGCGGCGGACCATTGTGTTTTGGGTTGTTCGGCCCTCTCAAACGGCAAGTTCTTTTTCCCTTTCAGCAACGGACAGCAAGTCCCTTTTTTTTCATTTGACTCCGTTGGCAGTCGCCGGGGGTGTAGTATGTTCCCTGCCGGAAATCAAAATCATTCGAGCATTTTGGGCAGGAGTATGTTTGAAGTCCCCCGCTGTGCTTTCGCCATGCCCATCGTGCTGTTGTGCTCATTGTTCGTCACCATCACACCTCCCATCACCATTGCAACCCCCAGCACCATCACGCCTCCCGTCGCCATCACGCATCGAGTAGGGCCATTGCGCATCCCGTGTCCATCGGGCCTCCAGTCATCATGAGCAAACAAGTCCCCTTCTTTTTCTTCTTCTTCTTCTCCTCCTTCTTCTAGTTATAATTCTTCTAATTCTAGTTCTTCTACTTCTAGTTCTTCTACTTCTTATTCTACTAATCCTAATTCTTTCTTATATTTCTATTTCCTCTTCTTCTTTCTTCTCATTCTTTTTATTTTCTATTTTCCTTGTTCTTTCTTCTTCCTTTCTCTTCCCTATTTTGTCTTCTTCTGCTTTTTTCCTTTCTTCTTTCCCCTTTTCTTTTTCTTCTCCTTCGTCTTCTTCCAGTTTCCTCCTCCTCAACTGCACCCACCATCACGACCCTTCCCCCCAAAGCTCCTCCCTTCTTTTTCCATTCTTCCCAATCTGACCACCATTGCACCACCTCTCCCCTTCCTCCGTTGGTTTTTCCCTCGTCTTCTAATCCCCTCCCTGCGCCGGCCATCAGCCCCTTCCCCCCCAATGCTCCTCTCCCCTTTCCTCCCATCCTCCACCTCTGCTCGCCATCTTCTTCCTCTTCTTCTTCTTCTAGTCCTCTTCTTCGGCATTTTCTTCCATCCTCCCTGAACGCTCATCTCACCTCTCTTCCCATCCTTCCCCCTCTTCCCACCATTTTCTTCTTACATCTACTTTCTGCCATCGGAAGTCCTCTCCCCTCTCTCAGTCGTTCTTTTTTTCATTCTTTGTTTATAATTCAAAGACAGCTCCCTGATCTGCCCTCAGCCCCCTTCCCCCCAACAATCCTCTGCCCTGTCTCCCGTTCCTCCCCCCTCTGCCTACCATCTTCGTCTTACATCTCTTCTACCAGCATTCCCCCTCCCCCAACGCTCGTCTCCCCTCTCTCCGAAGCCGTCCTCCTCACCAACCCCCAGTTTCTGCCCCCAGCATACCCCCCCTTGCCCTCCCCAGTCTGAAATTTCAAAAAAGAAGCGGATTCCACGTCTGCTCAACAAGCGCACTATAGTTGCACTTAACGAAAAAGAACTTTAGGGTGGTTTTTGGCCCGACTGACCAGGCTGAGTGGACACCCCCACCAGCCCTCCGGCCTGGGATGCCCTGCCCGGCCGGCCCTGCCGAGTGGATCCGTAGCCTAGGATCACAATTATCAAACACGATAAGAATCATCCCAACCCACACACACACCTGCCAAAACACCCAATCTACACACCTTTTCCTGTACGGTCCGGAGTTCACACTCTGACCATACAGCCTTAGTTGGTTTGGACAGCATACCCACCCAATCAGCCTTTCGCAACAAAAACTTCAAACAGACTATAAAAACAATACAATAATAAAAAATAGCAGCCACCCATATGGATAGATAAATCAAATCTATCCGCATGGCAGTAAGTCTCTAGACACTCAGTGGGCTAGAGAAAATGGCTGGCTGCTAAGTGAGCCAACTTTGACTCTCTTTTTTCCTGTAGCTTCTTATTACATTTGACTCAACCCCAACACTACTGTGTTCCCCAGAACAGAACGCAGCCTCATCATGAACGTTCCGGTCCGATACGGTCATGATGACGGTGCGTTGTCTTCTGAGGAAGACCGTAGGTTAGGGATGACTCAGACTATGAATGAAGGCAGGATGAGCAAGAACTTGCAAAATTCTTCGCAAAGGGGCCACCAACATAAAATGCCTGCTCAAAGCAAACAAGCGAACACGCATTCATGGTGAATAACCATGCGTAGAACGCAGCGGTCAAATGCATTGCTGGTGCATGGTAGTCTATCCAAGAAGGAAATTAGTGACAGCCCGAGAGCTCAGGGGGAGCAGCTTTGTGCCTTTCAGACTACAGTATCTTTCTCTGAGCACAACACACACTCATTACGATTGTATATGACCTGGACAGAGCCCTTGTATACATTCATGCTTACAAAACACTGTGCTTGTGCTAAGCTCGTAGATGGCTGGTGGGCCTATGTTTCTTCTCGAGTCAGCAGTTAAGCATTTTGACTAACCTGTCAATCATCAAACATTGGTATTCTCGATCAAGCAGAATATGTGAGGAAAAGAGAAGAGCGCAAAAGAAAATACAGAAACAGTCTGAAACAAAAACACGCGCTGTCATTGTCGCTGACACATTTAAAACATGGGAAAATTGCATCCGTGCCCCATTTAAGGATGGGAATTCCCGCTGCACCCAATCCCAGCGCCCAGCTTGCATCCATACCCAGACTCTGTTCCAAATTGAGGTCATAGACTCTTAGTAATACCCTACTTTTCCCATGCACCAAATTATACGTGCTCCTGGTCCCACATGCCCTTGGTTGGGCAGCACCAAATTACGCTCATGCCAATAAACTGGGCAGGCAAAATTGGCTATGCTGCACATAATTTGACCGGGAATGGGCATAATTTGACTATTCCGGTTGCTGCTATGCTGCACATAATTTGACCGGGAATGGGCATAATTTGACTATTCCGGTTGCTGAGTATAACCGTGTAACTGCAGTTTGGTGGTGGTACAAACTTCAGCCAACGTCGGTCTCGGGCATGCAAATAATCTGCACAGGCCATTCACGGCCATAGACGCAAGTGAGGAGCTGGTACAGGGTATAATGGGTACTCCCGTCTTTTCTTCCTTTTTATCCCACTTTTATTTATGGGTACCCACATCTTTAAATGGGGTACAGATGCTTTTTTTGCCCCTCTTGAAGCATGCGAGGATGGCCTAGCAGCTGGGAAGCAGGCAAACGAGCAGCCAGAAGTGGAGGTGAATGGCTCCACATTGACATCGACTGACAGCACAGCAGAGGCGAGGGAACAAGCTATGTACATGTACACACACAATCTGTGGACAGGAGGTCCCTCACAATGAAAAGTCGTCCTCCTGATCTCAACGCACCTTGAGTGTGCTGACCGTGGTCAACTTCTGCCGCTCGATGACATGACCGTGCTCATCAATCTCCCTTCCAAGAGGATCCAGTCTAAGTACAGGTGCCTTAACAACCTTTGGCTGAGCTGCGGCCTGCGGCTCGGCGCTTGCGGCAGGTGCAGCAAAACTAGGCACGGGGGTAACCATCCCGGGTGCAGGTTTGAACCCAAGTCGAACCGCCATCTGCTGCGCCTTCACAATGTTGGCCGTAATGTCTGTGCCCATCCCAACGCCTGTCGGGAGGCCAGAGATGTCAGTGCCCATCCCAACACCCGTAGGAAGGCCAGGGATCTCCGTGCTCATCCCAACCCCTGTAGGGAGGCCCGATATGTTTGGCACAGGGGCTACCCCAGGAACAATGCCAGCACTACCCATTTGCTGCAGCAGCCCTGTTGCAAGCGCTCCAGCAGGAGGAGCTGCCCCTGGCAGAGGGAGTGGGGCCAGAACCGACATCACAGCTGCTGAAGGAAATGACGAGGGCCACTGCTGCAGTGCTTCCGAAGCAACCGCTAACGATGAGCTTTCTGGTGCTCCCCCTCTTGCTGAGGGGGCTGTTGCAGACGCTGTTGGCGCTGCTATGCTTGATGCTGTTGTTGATGCTGCTGATGCTGTAGATGAAGTGAGCTTTGCAAGCTGCAGAACAGAAAACAGAAAGGTCAGGAGTATGTCCACCATTCAACCAACAAGCAGTTTCAGTAAGAAGCCTCAATCTTCTTCGTGGAGAGCAAATCATTTTTTTCCCTCTTCTTTGCAATCATAATTATAACCATCGTCATGTTTCTGCCAAGAACAGTCTTGAACTTCTATTAAAAAAAAAAATAATAAAAATAAAATAAAATTCTGCAATACACATTCTGTATCACATACACATTCTGTATCACATTTCGCTGCACTTTTCATCGTTGCCGGGGCCAAGATATTCGTCCAGAGTACAATCCTCACGCTCATCCTTTTCACAATCACATAAATGCCCTCACAAGTGCCCATCGTTTTCAAGGCCACACACACAGCCTCATCACGATCATTGCCACCGAGTTTACCGCCACAGAAGCAAGCCCCCGCTCATGCTGCTCACACCTCATGTCATCGCATTCCTTCATCATCATCATCATCATCATCATCATCATCATCATGCTTGTTGGTACAGACTGAGAGTCACAGAATACCATTAACATGCTTTTCACCATCACACGAACTGATATTCATCATGCCCTTGTTCTTATCATCAACGTCTTATGATATGACCAGTGTCATGCTTTTCATTGTCACTCTGTCTCACAATTGACATCATTATCCTCCCCCCACGGTCATTGTTGTATGCCTCCACCTCCTCTCCCTACAACTAATCAGAGAAAACCTCACGCTGATAATTGCCACGCTTCTGCAGTCTCATGGTCGTCAACTTCTCATGTATAAGGTCAGCGTATCGTCATTACAGTCTTCCTTTCCCCATCATCATCATCATCATCCGCCTCCCCCATCCTCCTCTAACCACACATTATCATCATTCTCCACCTTCTCCCCCTCCTCCTCCTCCCCCTCTACTACTACCAGCGGCAAGCAGCTAAAGCATGCTCAAGTTTGCCTCCACATACTAACTGCAGCACCCTTATGTCATCACTCGTTAAACTCGAAACACACTGCTGCCACACAGTCTAACATCTTTTTGTCTTCAGGCTTCTCTCACCCCCAATTTTCTGTTAAATGCTTAAATGAGGCGGAGAAAGGGCGAGGGGAGCTTTCCGAGAGGGAGTAGACTGACCAGAAAACTAACTACATTTTGCCATTGGCCTTTGGAG